ACGGAAAGGTCACGGAATAATCTCATGGGCTCAGGTGTAAAGGGCAACCACACCGTCGTCGTCGTCCGCTAGTTTGCGCGTAACCGTCTGTTTCCGTGCGCACCCGATTCAAGAGCCGAATGGCTCACAGGGCTATATACCTAATAAAATAACTTGAACTTGAACTTGAACCTGCACGGTGACCGGCGAAACCTCCGACAGATTAAACCGCGTCCCGAATTACGACGAGGGACGTGGAGCGGCGACGCGGTGGTCAGCGAGCGAACCAGCTTTCATGTTCACCCGGCCGCATTTTGGGTTAAAAGTCGGTGGCGAGGGATATCGGAATCGGTCAATTTTCCGCAGTGTTGCTGTGTGAATAGTTTTGGCTGAGAACGTATAATCGTACGTGGCAGGATCCATATTATGCTTTTGGTTCGTTTATGTAAACTAAAACTTTATATAGAAGGGAAATGATAAAATAATAAAAATAAAACATAATAAAATACAATTCTCACGACGTTTCGGCCACAACGCAAGCAGCCGTCCTCAGGTGAAGAACATGTCTTTGCGACAGATGCCACGGCCGTCAGCTGACATGCGCCGCAACTTTAATCAAACAGTCGCTGTTTCTTTTGATCAAAACGCGGAAATTCGTATAATCGCCCGAGGATGGTGGAGGTGGTGATGGAGGTGGTGGTGGTGGAAGTTTCGTTTCTGCCTTGGCGCATGCGGTGTGAAAAACTTTCATCTCGTCTTGTCACTGCGGGGATTTGGTGCAGGCTCCGCGTGTGGAACTTGAGACGATAACAGACGCCCGCCTCTATACTCGATCGCGTGCGTGCGAGTGTGCACGTGTGCGTGTGTGTATGTATGTGTGTGTATATGTGTGTCTGTGTGTGTCTCTGTGTGTGTGGGGAGTGGTAGTGTAGCGGTTAGCGCTACGCTGTGCTACGGCTAACACCAGTGACGATTATCTGAACCGGTCTTGGGCCTCCCCTAGGTCGACTCAGCCTTAAATGAGTACCTGGTGCGGTGTGTAAACATCGCCACTGGGGAGACAAAGGCGGTCGGGCGTGGTGCTGGCCACCCACCCCCTCGTGTACCGTTGCGGCCTTCATAGGTGCTCGCTAACAGCACTTGCCCCTACAGTCTGTTAAGGCTATACGTGGGATCTTTGTCTTTGTGTGTGCGTGTGTGACTTGGGCTGGAGAAGAGATCGACTGATGCGGTACGGGAGGAGGACGTGGAGCGGAGTGGACTTGACGATGACTGGAACCAGCGGGTGGTGGCGGGTTTAACGACACATTTATAAATTGACTCGATCTAACCCAAACAAAACCTGTGTTATGTGTGTACATTATGTGTTTGTTATGTATGGACAGGGGTCGAATGCTTGCTGGACAGGGCCAGATGTTTTATTTCGCCGAGTCTCGATGCTGAAGAGGGCCCTGCCCACGTTGTCACCAGAAGTCGTGATGTTGCTGCCGCTGCTGCTGTTCTGTGTAATCGAATCGTTTGCAGGTATATTTTGGCATTGGGACATTATGAGTTACAGCTCCTCATTGTTTTTCTTTGTGGGGAAACCGGAGAACACGGAAAAAACTCGCTTCAGAACAGGGGTGGTGTGGTGGGGATAACATACACACTCCATTTCGCGACGCTACCTATTGACTACCGGGTTTTTTTGTGTTGTTGAAATATTACTATATATTTTTTTCCGAATAAAAAAATGTCTCTTCTTGTTGTTTTGGTTGGCGACCTCCTCCCCCCCCCCGTGCGAGCCTGACACCAGCGCCGTTCGTGAGTCGTGACATCGTGGCCGTTGTTGCGCTCTGCGTCTTTACGCGTGCGTGCTGCTTGCTATCTTTGCCTTTGATCATCGTTATCAATAATTCAGTGACACGGTCCACAGACCGTGCAGGCGTTTGAGTAGGAGCTGGAGGGGGCCCCGGGGCGAAGCGGCAGCGCGAGTTCCCGGGGTTTGGGACGTCAAAGCGTTTCATCGGTCCCTGATTTCAATCGCCACTGATGATGACCGTGGCCGTAAATTAAAATACACGATCACCCTGGTTGAGATCGATACGCGCAAGTCCACACGGCAAAGGCCTCCGATTAGCGCGGTTGGCCACGTGCGGTGCGAAAGAAGTTCAACGTACATAGACATCAGACAAAGATCCCCCATATAGCCTTGATCAGACTGTAGGGGCAAGTGCTGTTAGCGAGCACACACGAAGGGCAGCGCGGCGAACGAGGGGGTGGGTGGACAACACCACGCCCGACCGCCTTTGTCTCCCCAGCGGCGGTTTCTACACACCACACCAGGTACTCATTTGAGGCTGAGTCGACCTAGGGGAAGCCCAGGACCGGTTCAGATAATCGTCACTGGTCTTGGCCATGTTGCGGAAATCGAACTCGGGTCGCCGGGTTCGGAGCGCAGCGCGCTAATCGCTGCGCCACCGTTCCCCCCTTGCACAGGTACAACAACAACAACAGCCATTCGCCACTAAGTGGCGGTGACGTCACCACGACGCTTGTGCCAGGCCATGTGCACCTTGAGGCCACGTGAAGTGTCGAACGCCCGCTGGCAGGAGGTCACGGGGCAGACCCAGGTGAGCCGGGTCGACTGACTGAGATGACCGAGATGGCACAGGTACAGGACAGAGACGCACAAACACGCACACACGAGCAGATGAACAGACATGCAGACAAAGACAAAGGTCGTCCGTGTAGCCTCCACAGGCCGTTAGGGCAAGTGCTGTTAGCGATCACCTTTGAATGGCGACACGGCACACGAGGGGGTGGTTGTGACCAACACGAACATCACATTCACTCGTGTGTGATCATTCCACGTTCCTGTGGGCGGGTCCCAGTATTTCCAAAACCGAACGCGCATCGGTGACAACGTCCATTGAAGCGTCAATCCAGGTGGTGGGCGAATCCTCGCCAGGTGCTACTTATTTTATCTACCCTCGGGGCATGAAGATGATGATGCTACCATTTCTGAATTCACGCAGCTGTGTACACCCACCCCACTCTACAATGATTTAGAGCTCTTTGTCTCTTCACTGCTAGATGGAGGCTTCCCCAAGCCGTGTGGGCCATGTGGGCGGTGGGGGGGGAGGTGGTTATCTTATAATTTAACTTAACCACCTTTAAGGGAGTTCATCGTAATCATCGATATCGGTTAATTTATTCAATGGATAGGTGTACACAGTGTTGAATATCGGTTGACGTATTCAATGGATAGTTTTAAATCCTTTATATTAAGTTCGCTTGCTTGCTTGCTTGCGTGCTTGCGTGCTTGCGTGCTTGCTTGCTTGCTTACGACCGTGCAAATCTTTCGGTCGTTTTTAACCCACTTCCCGTGATCCAATCGAGCTGACATTTTGCACACAGACTCGTTGTGCGTGACAATTAATTTTCCTGAATTTTTTTTTCCAAAATTTGACACTGTTTAGGGGAATTTTTTTAAAATATTTAATTACCAATTGCTTAATGCTGCCAGACAATCATCTGACCCATAGGTGGCAGCCATCTCAAGCCAGAGGACGAGAGGACTCTAGCCGCCACGCATATAAAGGATTTATACTGAAAAACTTTGTTTTTACGGGTTACATTTTTTTTAGTGGTGAATATCGGTTAACGTATTCAATGGACACCCATACGCCGTGGTGTATTCATACGAACGCAGGGACGATCGTCGTTTTCAGAAGTTCCGATGCACACAGCCCACGTGCTGGATGTTCTGAGCAGCGCCAATTACTGTACCGATTCAAGGACTGCATGGATTTTGCTGCGCACGGATGTTGTGAAACTCCCTCCCCGGTGGGCTTCGAGCAGCCCTGGCTCGCCTGAAGGCAGTACAGCAAATCACGTGGAACCCCCCCACCCATCCGTTCCATCTGTGGCCCTTCGCACGCGTGCGTATCCTCCGGTTGCTCTCTGCTCTGCTCCACCACGTGTAAACACTCGGGCAATTGGCCGGTAACAGCTTCGCGAATAGAGGACGGCGGAGCTGGGGCAACTGTCGGCGCTGGCTCGCGGCGTGACTGCATTCCAGCTTTGCTATCGGCCCTCCTTGCGTCTCTGGGCCGGTCTCTGTCTCTCTCTGTCTCTCTCGACGAGAGCGAGCCGATCGTTTGCGGTGCGTTATCGGGTAGTCGCCCATGTGCGTGATGGCCACACTCGATGACGTTGCTTAGCTTGCGAGGCACCACGAGGTCGGCCTCATTGATGTCGATGTTGGTGATGAAATCGGCTCTTCTTGCTGCGGGTCGAGAGAGGGGGGCGGCGGTGGCGGCTTGGAGGGAAAGGCCTTCATCATCCAGCAGTGGAGTGACCATGGCCGATGGAGAAGTCGTAGGCCGCTGTAAGAGACTGCGCGAGCCATGGGGGGGGGGGAGGCGGAGGTTTAGGAATCCGAGAACGCGTGGGGGGGGGTGTAGTGGGTGGGGGTTGGAGGAGTGAATGGGGTAATCGGAGGGGGGTGGTGGTGGAGTTTGGGGGATGATATTCGAAAAGGGATGAGATGTTAGGGAGCGGTGGGGTGGGGGTAGATGGTAGAGAGGACGGGGGGTAAGATTTGAGAGGTTAAATTGGATTGGAATATTGATGAATAATTGGGATGGAGATGTTTGGGGGGGGGGGCGGGGTGGGAGAAGATGTGGGGGGGTGTGTGAGATGAAGAGGTGAAACGAGTTGAGGGCTGAGCGAGGTGTTGGCAGGTAGAGGTCGAGCGAGCAATGAGACTGGAGGATTACGTGAGATCGTAAGGAGGGGGGGGGGGGGGGTGAGATGAAGAGGGTGGGTGGGGGTTGTGGGATTGTTGGCGGACAGCCGGGGGAGGGAGGGAGGGAGGGGGGGTCCTGTTAGATGGGAGGGGAGTGAGATTGGTGGTTCAAGTGGGACTGAAGAGTGAATGTGAAATGGGTTGGTGGGTGATGAGAGAGGGGGGTGGTGGGGGCTGATGTAGGGGGAGGGGGGGGGGTGAAGTGAGACTGGGTGCTGACGTCACAACAGGGGAGAGACGTCGCTCAGGTATAAATTGCGTCGCGTCGCGCCCTTGTAAACACCGCACGCGTCGCGACTCGAGCACAACGCCGCCTGCTGCTGCTCCTGCTGCTGCTGCTGCTCCTGCTGCGTCTCCCCAGAGCTGGGTGAGTGGACCGTCTTTATTGTTGACCCGCGTGTACCGACAGTCTGCGTGGGGGAACATTTTGTGTATTTTTTTTGTGTGTACTGGGGTATGGGGCTGTATCGGTGGCAATCCGATATTGCCTTGAATCGATAAAGTGTTTTTGTTTTGCCGGTACACTGTAAGTCTGCCCTATAGGGGGGGAGGGAGTGCAAAAATCCCGATATCGAGAAGTCTGAAATCGAGTCAAGTTGGTAGCGCAGCGCGGCATACAACGCAGGCACAGAAGCCTCCACATTCACGTGGCACACACACACACAGACACGCCGTGACACACACGCACACAGTGACACACACACAGACACGCCGTGACACACACACACAGTGACGCACACAGCACACAGACACACACACAGACACAGTGACACACACAGACACAGTGACACACACAGCACACAGACACGCCGTGACACACACAGCACACACACGCGTGCACTTTCGCACTATCCCTCTCTCACACACAGACACGCAGTGACACACACACACAGTGACACACACACAATGACACACAAATACACAGGCTCACATTCTCGCACGCCTTTAACAGACGGTGCCATGAGCGTTGCGCACGAGGGCGGTTCGGTGGCCAAGCACCACGCCCGGCCGCCTTTGTCTCCCCAGGTGCTCGACATGAGGACCGGTTTTGAAATATTCGCCACTGTTATTGGCCGTGAGAGCTGGAATCGAACTCTTTTTCTCGGCCGGGTTCCGTAGCAGAAGGTTCTCCGGTCACCACCGCGATGACGACCCAGCGTCGCATCCACAGACGCATCCACAGACGCGAAGCGGAACAAAGATTCTAGATTTGAAGCTTTCGTGACTGCAATGATTCATACTCTTAGGTTTTTTCGGTAAAGTCACGTAGGTAGAAAATACATTTAAAAATTACTAAAAGTAATAATAGAAATAAAGTAATAAATCATTATTTTTTTTAAAATAATTTTAAATAATAAATTATCATTTTTATTAAAATAATTAATCGTGATTTTTTTTCTATTATTACTTTTTAATTTTATTTTTTACCTACGTGACTTTACCGATAGAACAAAAATTCCCCGCCACCGTTATAAAGGCCGCGCTCACGTGTTGGGGAAAGTGCTGTTAGCGAGCGCCGCGTTTAAAATCCGGCATGGCGCACCAAACTCTTGCAACACCGTATTTTTAGTTTTTTTCGGTGAAGTCACGTAGGTAAAAATTAAAATTAAAATGAATAAAAGTAAAATAAAAAATCACGACGTTTCGGAGGCAACACAAGCTTCCGTCTTCAGGTTCAGCTTTAACTCGCCGCTGATGTTCGCCGTGGCGGGGGTTGGTATGAGTTGGTGGCGGGGAGTAATCTTAGCGCAAAGTGCCACGCTGACGATTCCTAGAATGGGCGAATCCGTGTCACTTGCTTTGCTGACTCGCGATGTCCACGGGGAGCGGTGGTGCAGCGGTTAGCGCGCTGCGCTACGAACCCGGCGACCCGAGTTCGTTCCCGCTTCACGGCCAACACCCAGTGACGATTACAATCTGAGCCGGTCCTGGGCCTCCCCTAGGTCGACTCGGCCTCAAGTCAGTAACCTGGTGCGGTGATGTAGTAAACCATCGCCACTAGGGAGACAAAGGCGGTCGGGCGTAGTGCTGGCCACCCACCCCCTCGTGTGCCGTGCCGGCCTTTAAATGTGCTCGCTAACAGCACTTGCCCCAACAGTCTGTTGAGGCTACACGGGGGATCTTTGTCTTTGTGCTGTCTTGGTGATTGATGCTGGTAAGGTGATGTGGTGAGCGTGCCTTGTACTCGTCACCCCCCCCACCCACCGCGAGACCCACGGCCGAAATCCTAAAAGTAAACTGAGACGGAAACCGAACAAACGGGAGCGAGACCCAAATAAACCTGGCGGGCCACGGGCGAGTCTCATGGGGGTGGCGGGGGGGGTTACAAAATGAGTTTTACGTCGCAACAATCGGTTAATGTCCACCACTTGGTGGATTAAATAATCACCTTGGATAGTTGTGTGTGTCCCCCCCCCACCCCCCTTTGTTACTCGGAGAAAGTGGATCGGACCCTGACATAAAAAACATCCACAATCGGCAGCAATTGCCGGTTAAACTACACGGGGGGCCGGGTCACCTCTGCTCCAACCACAACGACAACAACAATGACAACAACAACAAAGTGAATCCGTTGCGCAGCCGTGAGGCACGCGCACTCCCATTTCGTAAAACCGTGAGTCGTCCCAAAAGCGGGGGGGGGGTCATCCTTGAGACTCGGCGTGTATCATGACGGGTGAGTGTCTGTGTGAGTCTCTGTGTCTGTGTCTCTCTCTCTGTGTCTGTGTGTGAGTCTGTATATCTCTGTCTGTGTCTGTGTGTGTCTGTGTCTCTGCGTGTCTGTGTCTCTGTGTGTGTCTGTGTGTGTGTGTCTCTGTCTGTGTGTGTCTCTGTGTGTCTCTCTCTCTCTGTGTGTCTGTGTGTGAGTCTCTGTGTGTGTCTCTCTGGGTCTCTCTCTCTGTGTCTGTGTGTGAGTCTGTATATCTCTGTCTCTGTGTGCGTGTCTATGTCTGTGTGTGTCTCTTTGTGCGTGTCTCTGTGTGTGTGTCTCTGTGTCTGTGTGTGTCTGTGTCTCTGTCTGTGTCTCTGTGTGTGTGTGTCTGTGTCTCTGTCTGTGTCTGTCTCTGTGTGTGTGTGTCTGTCTGTCTCTGTGTCTCTGTGTGTGTGAGTCTCTGTGTGTCTCTGTCTGTGTCTCTGTGTGTCTCTCTGTGTGTGTCTGTGTGTGTATCTGTGTGTGTCCACTGAGTCTGTGTGTGAGTCTCTGTGTGTCTGTGTGAATCTCTGTGTGTGTCTGCGTGTGTCTGTGTGTGTATCTGTGTGTGTCCACTGAGTCTGTGTGTGAGTCTCTGTGTGTCTGTGTGAATCTCTGTGTGTGTCTGCGTGTGTCCACTGAGTCTTTGTCTTTTGTGTCGTGGCTGTTTGCCGGCGCCACGTGCTCGCCACGTGCTCGTCACGTGGTCTCGGCGTGACGCGGTCCTAAACCGTCGACGTCGCCACCGCCGCGTGTCTCACCCCTCCCCCACAAGATGAGTTGGACACCTGGGCAAGCGAATTTTTTATTAATCGCTTTGTTTATTGTCAAATCCATCGCCACAGACGCCGGGGGGTTCGTGTGGAGGCGGGGAGGAGGGGGTGATGGTGTGGATGGGGGTGATTGTGTGCATGGTGTGGATGGGAGCGGTATGATGGCAAGGAGTTACTGTGATTGATGGGTGTGATAGTAGGGGGTATGTACGAGTGTGATGTGTGTGCGATATGAGAGGGCGCGTTGTGATGGCGGTGTGAAGCGGTGGCGCAGTAGTTGGCCATCTGCCACCAGAGTTCAATTCCTGGCCACTGCAAACATCAGTGGCGAGGTGAGATCTGAACCGGTCCTTCATCAACCCGTAGTGACCAACCTGGTGAAGTATGGCCAAACAACACCCCCCCCCCCCTCCATGACATACACGGCACGGGGAGGTCTTCATCCAGCAGTGGATTGTCAAAACATCTACCTGAAAAAAAAATCACAATTATTGTCCATCTTCTTGGTTCTTTCGGTAAAGTCGCGTAGAATGGAAATAAAAAAATAAAAAAAATCATAATGAAATATTATTTTATTATTTCCATTCTACGTGACTTTACCGAAAGAACCAAGAAGATGAATCCCTGCAGTCACGAAAGCTTTAAATCGAAATTATTGTCCAATCGATGGCGAGATGACGGCGTGACGTCAGCCAACTCGGGCGAGCTCGCGCGCTGTGGACGTGGTCATCTGCGCCAATCGACCAATCGCACGAGGCGGTGGTGGGGTGCACGGGTCACGTGACAAGAAAATTAAACTTATCTTCTTGGTTCTTTCGGTAAAGTCACGTAGAAGGAAAATAATAAAATAATAAATAATAAAACATGTGAGAATAATTAAATAATAAATAATGACCTTGTGAGATTTTTTTATTAATATATTATATTAGTTTATTATATTATTTTATTATGTTTTATTTTTATTCTTTTATTATTTCCCTTCTACGCGACTTTACCGAAAGAACCAAGAAGATGAATCCCTGCAGTCACGAAAGCTTTAAATTGAAAAATAAAACTTAATTTGGATCTTTCGTGACTGCGGGAATTACTCTTTGGTTCTTTCGGTAAAGTCACGTATAAAGAGAAAATAATAAATTAAATACTAGCATACGACGTTTCGATTGCAACACAAGCAATCATCATCAGGTATAAATGAAATAGAAACACAAATCTAGTATACTTAGAAATGTAATGTAATAATACAACAGAGAGTCGGATAACATAACAGTCAACACCCTACCTGGTTGATTACGTTCTTCCTGAGAATGCTAAATGTGAGAGAGAGATAAAACACAGAACCAGAGACATATAGACAGACAGATATCACAGAGATACATAGAGAGAGACACATACATAGGCACACAGAGAAATCGAAACGTCGTATGCTAGTATTTAATTTATTATTTTCTCTTTATACGTGACTTTACCGAAAGAACCAAAGAAGAAAATAACAATTTAAGTTTTTTTGGGTGCACATTGAGAAAGTGCTCCCCGCGGGCGGCCGTGCGGCAAAGCGCGGAGAGCCGCAGCATCTGTTGTCGTGCTACTGCCCGCGCTCTGCCTTTTGTCTGCGTGCACCTGGTGGTGGTGGTGGGGGTGGAGGTGGTGGGGGAGGATGTAGGGGGAGGATGTAGGGGGAGGATGTAGGGGGAGGATGTAGGGGGAGGGAGGCTCGGGGAACCTCGCAGCAGGTGCAGGGTGAGCTGTGTTTACCTGGAGAGTAAGAAGGAGAGAGGGGGGGGGAATAGGGTCCATATTCTTTGGTTCTTTCGGTAAAGTCACGTAGGTGAAAAAATAAAAATACAAAATATAAATAACTAAATTATTTCTTTTTTTATAATAAAAAAAAGAAATGACTCATTTATTTTTATTTTTATTGAAAAAAATAAAAACAAGAATAAAATATATAAATAACTAGATTATTTCAAATAAAAAAAATAGAAATGACTAAATTATGTCTATTTTATTTTATTGAAAAAAATAAGAATAAAAAATATGAATAACTCAATTATTTCAAATTTGTATAAAAAATAGAAATAACTCAATTCTTTTTTTTTTCACCTACGTGACTTTACCGAAAGAACCAAAGAGTATGGATCCTTGCAGTCACGAAAGCTTCAAATCTAGAATAATAGATCGGGTCCTGGTGCAGAGGTCGTTAACACGCGTCTCTTTGTTAAGGACTCGCCCTCTCGTATTCACCACACAGTGAGTGCATTGCGGCTCTTGAAATATTGAGTATTTTTTTACCGAATTATAACAAATTATATATTATTTCTAGATTTGAAGCTTTCGTGACTGCAAGGATTCATATCCTTAGGTTTTATCGGTAAAGTCACGTAGGTAAAATTTTAAAATTAAAATGAATAAAAGTAAAATAAAAATTAAATAAAAATCACGACGTTTCGGAGGCAACACAAGATTCCGTTTTCAGGTGGAACCGTCACAGCACGTGCTAATTTTATTTTTTTACCTACGTGACTGTACCGAAAAAACCTAAGAATATATAGATTATTGTTTATTTGGGGTTCCGAGCCGTGTGCTTGTGTTTCGGAGCATTAAAGTTTGTGACCTCGCAAGAGGGGAAGATGATGAAGACGGTACACATGGGGGTGGGTGGTGGTGGGTGGGATGCGAGAGACGAAGACAAACGGGGCGACACGTAGACATGGGGTGAAGAGCTCAACGCAAACGCGCGGGACACGCCGATTAAAGCACCGAGATGCAGCGTCGACAGATTGGGGACGAAGCCACAGACACACGGGTGGAGACAGATGGGTTGCACGGACATGTGGTGAGATGATTACCCGCCAGGTGCAAGGTGAGCGCCTATCAACGGACGGGTAGCAGCACCTGGAGCTGGCAGTGCAGGGCACGCCATGCAACATCCCCCCCCCACCCCCCCTCAACTATTTATTTTTATTATTTTATTATGTCCCTTCGACGTGACTTTACCGAAAGAACCAAGAAGATGAATCCCAGCAAGCACGAAAGCTTTAAATCTAAATTTACAGCCACTACGCTGTGGGATTCCATAAAACTTTAAGATCCTTCAACAAGCTCCGTGATAAGAAGGCTCAGCTTCAAGGCGCTCTTCTTCCCCCTCCAACCCAGCTTAAATATACGCTCCAAGCTTGGTGGTGTTTCATTCTTCACCTGAGGACGGCTGCTTGCGTTGTGGCCGAAACATCGTGAGAATGATTTAATTATGTTTTTATTATTTTATTATTCCCCTTCTACGTGACTTTACCGAAAGAACCAAGAAGATATTCCCTACCCGCTACGGTGGCTAGGAGATGTTAACTACTTCGCCTGGTGTACAGGAGGTCGTGGGTTCGAACCCGACCCTGACGCCTGCTGCTGCTGTATATTTGGAGTTTGTGTATCTCTTGCCCCGTGGTCGTATGGATTTTGCTCCGGATCCTCCGGATTTTCCCCTCCACATTTAGAATCAACAGCACGCGCTTAGAGTATTTGGGTGCTATTAATTCCCACGTGATTGATAAGCCATGTCATTAAGCTATCATGCGTTGCCAGGTCGCTTCTGAAAAAGAGTTGAATAGTTCAGTGGGATTTACCTGGCAACATTAAAAGAAACCCATCATAGATGTTTTCTGGCTTATATCGCGTAAAATATAAATGTGCAGTTAAACCCGACACAGTCAATTAGTAAAGTTTGCGGAGGGAGCTGGTAGGAACGTTGGGTTGCTCGGTCAATGGCCAGGGTCAACGGCGGCGTGGTGTGTTCCGCAAATATGCCCGACTGAGGGCGGGCACAAGCCGGCGTGAGTCGGTTAAACGTTGAGTTTTATAAGGGCACCACAGGGTGACCAGCCCCTCCCCACCTTCCCCTCCCCACCCAGCCCCTCCAACACGACGGACGGACACAATAATCCCCTGTGGGCTGGTGTAACCAGGAGGTCCTACCCAGTATAATTTAACGCGTTGGTACAGCTGGGTGCTTCACAACGCGATGTATGATTAGTATGATTAGCAGCGGCGGATGCAATCAAGAGAGCGTACAACTTCCCATGTTCGCACTCGAGCGCGCGTGTGTTTATCTCGAGAGCGCCTGATACAAATCCACCGCTGGATAAAGGCCGTGCGACTCGTGTGACCATACTTCACCAGGCTGGTCAGTGCCTTACTCCTTTGGTTCTTTCGGTAAAGTCGCGTAGGTATAAAATACAAATATACCTACGCGACTTTACCGAAAGACACGAAAACTTCAAATCCAGATTGGTCAGTGCCTGTTTCGTAAAGCCGTTGACGTGGGAGCGTAGGAGTACAGTACAACAATGCAGCTTTCTACAATGCCCACCACGTGGTCCCGCAGCAAGCCTATAGCACCTGTTACAAGTAGAGTGGTCGCCCATCCGAGGAGTCGTCGAAGGCTCGAAGTTGCTTCGCTCCCAAGATCTGACCCGCCCATACTGGACATTTGCGATGAAGAGCTTCACAGCTCATCGGATTCCGCCTGTAGTCTACATACGGATTCTGATTCTGAAAGAGTTTCACGGTGACCCATGTTTACAGCCATTAGGGGCGCTTCTGCCAAAACAAAAACAGGGCTTTTTCTCGCTCGTGAATCTAATCGCAGCAACGTGTGTTTAATCCCTGGGGGAGGGGAGTGTTTCGTAATAATTGAGCTTTTCTAACGATGGTAATTTAGAAACTGATTTCCCATTTACGTGTAACGCGACGCTTCCCGGTGCATAATTAAACACGAAATTATAATTTTAAAAAGACCGAGGAAGAAAAACCGTGCATATGCCTGACCATGCAACGCTTTCCGACCATGCGGTTTGGTACTCGTAAGCGATTCATTTCATAGAGAACACATGCAGGATCACGGCATAATTCACCCCCTTGATAAAATAAAGTGGGGCCGTTACTGGCAGGACACGTGGCGATAAGGGGGCGATGGGCGCTTGCTGCTGTGAGCAGTGAGCACACGTGTTGTGCCTCCCATGACACCTTGCGGCAAACTGTTGCAATATCTTAGCCTGCCCTAATTGCTGTACTAATCAGGCGTGTAACGAGCTGCAACACACACACACACGGAGAGAGATTGGACGAATCGTCAGTATTGGGAACAGAGATTCGATTCAAGCTCTGATTTGTTTAATCTCTTCCCCCCCCCCCCCCACAGTCTCGTTAGCATCAGCTGTGGTTAAACCACAGCAGATGCTAACGTTGCATTAGCATGTTATTTACATGAATATCTCGTTTGGCCATCTCCTGCTGGTTGAGGGCCTGCCTGCACCGAAGGGCTAATTTAGCATATGATTTGTGTTTTAATTAGCAGTTAATTAAACCTATAAAATTTTATGTACTTACACATGCTTCGGTTTAAATCGATTCTACATTTGTGTCCTGTAATGTACATATGGTGTTTTCCTGAGAAAAAAATATCTATTGACCCAACGCGTATTGCAAACCATATAATTGTTTTAACCATTGCGTCCTAACTGTGCGAATCGAGTTGTATTGCAGTGGATCATTATGAATTTCAGGGTTTTTAATTATAAAAAAATAATTAAAGCCCTTGGTGGCCAGGTAGCTCAGAAGTCTAAGTGCTGAGCTGGCTTCAACTGATGCCACCTGTGATTTAATGATTTAAACCAGGTTAAGTGTAGTTGGTGAGTTGGTAACACACACACACGCGCGAAAAATATTCACGTTTTAAAATTTGCTGCTGATCTTAATTTGGCTAAATTCCAGCTGTGGAATTAAAAAAAACACACCCGCGACCACGTACCGTTCAACCGGCCCCAGGAGCGAATTGTGGTCCGTAAGTCGAGCACTGTCCGTACACACAATTCAAACGTCGGGTTTACGGTCATGTGACGAACCTAATGAAGTGCTGCCCTCTACAGCACTGCGCGTGTGCACCGGAGGGTTATTCGACGGGAGCTCGCGTCACGGGGAGCGCTGCGATACTTTATTCCCTGGGCCTTTTTACTCCAATATAAAAGCTTGCACTGCCGTGCGAGAAATCCTACCGGATACTTTCTCAGAACACGACAGCACCACAAATTGTACAATATAAAGAACACCTTGTTTAAAACCCACACGCACGCTTTACTGAAGCCATTAACCTTTTGCCGTCCTGTTTTATTCCTTGCTCCCCCCCCCCATACCTCCCTCCCTCCCTCTCCACCAACTGCTACCCTCTCATTTTCAGGATTAATCTCGGAAGCCTTCAAAGAATCTGCACCCATCGCAGGGTTGGAACAAAGTTCTGCAACGTTGCTTGCCGAGGCTTCTTTTTTTTTATAGTTCTGTTATTTTCCCGATTTTGTGACAATTTTAAGGAACAACATCCAAAGCGATTTGGGCTGTCGGGGGAGCAGCACCGCTTGAATACAAAAACTAAAAACTTTTTAGCAGCAGACTCCCTGCGAAATCCGCAGCTCTCCTCTGCTTCCTCCTCCGCCGCGTCGTTCAACCTCGCCACCCTGCTCCTCAACCATGGAGCACCTGGAGGAGGACCTCACGTGCCCCGTGTGCTTCTCGCTGTTCGAGGAGCCGCGCGTCTTGCCCTGCTCGCACACCTTCTGCCGCCGCTGCCTGGAGAGCGTCCTGCAGGCCACGGTGGAGCAGTTCCCGCTGTGGCGCGCCCTCCGCGTGCCCCTCAAGTGCCCGAGCTGCCGCCACATGTTCGACATGCCCTCGGCGGGCCTCTCCTACCTGCCGCTCAACTACTCGCTGGTGGCCATCGTGGAAAAGTACCGGCGCCAGCAGAAGCTGCAGCGCGAGCGCGAGCTGGCCGAGTCGACGCGCCCGCCCGCGTGCGCCGAGCACAGCGAGCAGCCGCTCAACGTCTACTGCCTCACGGACCGCACGCTCGTGTGCGGCTTCTGCCTCACGCTGGGCGAGCACCGCAGCCACGACATCGAGTCGCTCGCATCCGCCTGCGCCCGCGAGGGACGCGCGCTCGAGGAGAGCACGCGCGCGCTGCTCTCCGACGACGATGATGTCGCCGAAGGCGACGACGGGGGCGCCGGCGCCGGCGGCCGTAGTAGCAGTGGCGGTGACGACGACGACGACAACGTGAGGGAGGTAGCCGTGGGCCAGCAGGAGGAGGAGGAGGGAGTTGGGGATTCGGCTACCGTTTTGAATCCAGCTCCGGAAGATGTTGGCGATGCTCATCGTGGTAACGATGGTGACGATGCTGCCGAGGATGACCAGCACCAGGAGGAGGTTGAGGAAGAGGCTCGGGATGTTGAGCGGCAAGGGGAGGGTCGCAGGAGGAGGAGGACGACAAGCGGCGGGACGAGCGAGGAGGAGATGGGGAGTGGAACGGAAGATCAGGGAGGGGAGACTGGACGGGGAGGACGGGCTGCTGGGGACGAGGCGGTCGCTCGAGGGGCCAAGGAAGCAGTGGACGAGCAAAAGGAGGAGCGGAATCGGAGCCCGCAACGTCGAGCGAAGCAACGTTACCCGGGGCCCTGGGCCACGGCGCGAACCCAGCTGCTGGAGCTGGAGGCGCGGCGCACCGGGTACGAGGTGCTGGTGAACCAGGAGGCAGCGCAGGTCGAGGCCTACTTCGCGGCGCTGCGCGACGATCTCGGCAAGCAGCAGATGGCCGTGATGGAGTACATGGAGGCGGCCAGCCGGCGTGCCTCGCTGGGCTACGAGCGGGCCATCGGCGTGCTGCGCGGCGTGCTGGACGAGCACGCCGCCGTGCTGGCGCTGGCCGGGGAGGCCCAGGACGCGATGCTGCTGGGCGAGCCCGTGGCCTTCCTGCAGAAGATGCACGTGTTCCGCGAGCGCTACGAGCTGCTGTGCGCCGCCGCGTGCGCCGCCCGGCCCGAGCCGCCGAGCTTTGGTCCCCGCTGCCAGGACTACCTGGTGCGCGGTTGGGCCGATGTGCCGCTCGGACGGCTCAGAGACGCGCCGCTGCCCCGACTTCCGTACGACGACGAAGGCGAAGGCGACGGCGGCGGAGAGGATGATGGCGGCGGCGGCGGCGTTCGGCGTGGCGGAGGCCTGGGCGGAGGGGATTTGGGGTCAACGGATGAAGACGGAGCCGTCTACGGCCACAACCACCACCTGTCCGTCATCCTGGAGGAGGAGATGGAAGAGGACGACGACGTCGATGGGACTGAACAGAAGGCTGACGAACTCGACATTGACCGCGGCTGGGGTGTCGGAGCCGGCGGACGAGCGTTGGCATCGCGAGCGTCGACGGCCGCCGACGTCTTTGCGCTTCTCGACGGCGACGCGGATGACGGCGTGACGGAGGAGGAGCTGGCGACCGCGTGGCTCCCGTTCGAGGTGGAGCAAGGCCTCGTCCTCCTCTCGGCGCTGGCGAGCCTTCGCTGGGCTGACGCGGCGGCGCTGGCGGCGCGCGCCGCCAGGATCTCCGAGACGTCGGCGCGGAAGGTCCTCGGCCGAGGCGGCCGGGCCTTGCTCCACGCGCTGGGCCCCGCGTCTTCCCGGCCCGCGCTCCTCCACGCCGCTCTATGGCTCTCCGTCGCCCTCTTCCTCGCCTTCTGCTGCTGCTGCTTCTTCGCCTCCCTCCTAGGCCGCAGCGACAACGGCGCGGCGGCGGCGGGGAAGCTCGGGGCGCCGGGCGCCGTGGGGCTGGCGCTGCTCCCGTTGCTGCCCTGCGTCGCCGTGGTGGGCGCCAACGCCCTCATGCGGCGGCGGCAGGGCCTGGGGTGTGGCTGGGGGCGCAAATGGGCCGTGGGGTCCGTGGGGGTTCTGAGGGCCGTGGTGGCGCGTGTGCGTGCCGCCCTCTAGAGGAAGACGGCACGAGGAGGAGGAGGAGGGGATGACCATATCCCCGCTCCTGGACAACTCGGTAGCCACCAGATGCGGCGAGCTACCTGCTGCTAATGTAGTGGTTGGTGGTTAATTTAATTAGTTCATGAACCCAATCTATTCTCGCAAATCGCGAGGCGTTAAATTGGACCGTGCGTGACGCAAGATTAGTATTTTCGCTTCATATTTTTTTATTAGCCGTGAGGTGTTGGGGCTTCCATGGCCCGGCGAGGTTGCTAGGTGGCCATAAAGATGTGACCATGTACAGCCAAGTAGGTGGCTACTGTGTCCTTTTGCTTTGCTTGTGAGTTTTCTTTGGGTTTCTCCCGCCCTCAAAAAGCCTCCGCGGGGGTGAAAGTTGGTCAAACATCCCAATGCAGCAGGCAGGACCTTCCTGACAAAAAGGTCTTGCTTGAGACTCAGAGGCATTTCTGCATTAAGGCCATTGTTATGACTTCCACATTTATAGCATTTAAATGAGCATTTTGGATTAGACGGCAAACGCTAATGCGAGACCTATTACGATTTTCTTCGATAAAATAACGTCTTTGTGTTGGTCCCGAACTAGATAATAATAATACTGTGGCGAAAATTACAAAAGTACTGCAATTGTAATACTTCCCAAGCAAAAAATATGTTATCTGTGGTAGTCGTGGAGCACTAAGACTTCTTCATCAACTTGAATAAAAATGAGGTGTTCATTTAATATTTCATGACGCGTCGTTCGTGCTCGGAAGATCGATCGATTGATCGAAATCGACAATTCGGCGAATCTGCCCCGGAGCTGCCTATCCGCCCTACCATTTCTAATGACCCCGGCCGCGTGATGCGACCCGCGCCTTCCAAAACCATACAACTGATAGGGGTGCGCCAGGCGCGGAAATTTAGGGGTTCCTCTGCTTCTGTGTCACGATCATCTCTGTTCACGCGTCCCGAGAACAACTTCGTGAGCTCGCCGTGCGTACGGGTGAACGACACCCGCACGCGATTCGAGGAAGGGCGTGAAGATGCAACGTTTGGTGGGGGGGGGGGGGGCCCGAAGCTTGCCATAACGTGAGGGGCCGTGGAGAATTACAGCCAACGTCAGTTGACCGTGGACAACTAGACCCAAGCCGAAACATAACATCTAATATATAATGTTTAAAAATATGTTTTTTCTTTTTATGATAGAATATAGTATTGTCATCAGTATGACATAAGTATACCAAGTTTGCAGTCGATACCACATTGGGAAGTGGGTAAAAATTGAGTTACAAGATTTGAGGATACAAATAAAAAAATCGCAGTATATTCCTGGGGCTATACTCTCCCACTTTCGCCAACCCGCACTCGAGCGGGATTGTGCGGCGTGGCAAAATAATCGCCCGCAATCCCATCATCCAGCAGTGGATTGACCACCACGAGTCATGGCGAACGTGGGAGGAGAGATATTGAGGAATGGGGGGTTCGACCGGTGAGTGGCCCAGATAAAAAATTCACGAGCCCCTCTGCGCCCCCTAGTGGCGGGATTTGAACTCCACTTGTGCCGCGTTACCCAATAGATTGACGCGCAGGGCCGATGATTTGCTCGACTAGATTTGAAGTTTTCATGACTGCAGGGATCCTTACTGTTTTGGTTCTGTCGGTAAAATCACGTGGGTATTAAATAAAATAAATCACGACGTTTCGGGCGCAACACAAGCGTCCGTCATCAGGTGAGACAACCACAGCAAGAAACAATTGCTCAAGTGGCAATAGATAGATGGCTTCATCTCCAGGTTGTGATGCAGAGATTTTCTGGAACTCTGTCCCAGATAGTTCTCGCTCATCATACTTTTGTTTTATCCCCCCCCCCCCCTTGGTCATTACGAAAGTCAACTCGATTCGTAACTCTATTCCTAACCCGAGAACGAACACGTCACTTGGTCGCGACCGCCCTACGATATGAACGCTGAACGTAGACCGGCAGGGAGTCTGAAATGTATCCCAGGCACGGATGGGTCCACAGCAACCGGCTACACTTGGGGCGGGGAGCGGTGGCGCAGTGATTAGCGCACTGCGCTATGAACCCGGGCCACGTGTGTTCAATCCCCGACCACGGTTCGAATCAGTGGCGAGTGAGATCTGAAGCGTTCCTGAGCACCCCTTCTCCACTAGCCCGCACTGGCCAGCGTGAAATATGGATGAGTAACCCCCAACGACCAAAACTATTTTTGTTTAGTTCATGTCCACTGTGGTTACACGGTTAAAGATTTCCCACTTTAATGCTTTCGTGTAGTCTTTGTAGCGATTATGGAGGTCGCGTCTATTTGAGTGTAATTTTGTGTATGGCTTAAATATGTGATAAGTTAAGCTTTTAAGTTGCTATGATTCCCTTCCTAAAGGTAGTGTTAACTCGTTGACCAATGTTTTTTTAATGATTTGAAAGCTGGACTTCAACGAAGCTACTCCAATATAAGTGTTTTGCCACTGCATATTAATGATAGTGGGTGGAGCGGTGGCGCGGTTAGTTGGCCCACTGCACGGTTAGGGCTTTTGGCTGCTATACATTTCCACGCGATAAGCCACTTTTTGTTTAGCCATAATTTGTGGCCTGGTCGCTTCTGAAACAGAGCTATGTAGCTCGGTGGGTCTTACTTACCTGGTACAATACTAAACTACTCTTTGGCCCTTGCGGTAAAGTCACGTAGATGGAAAATGAAAATTAATGAAATAAAAATAATATATAACGACGCTTGTTGAGATCGAAACGTCGTGATCTATTATTTTTTATTACAAAATTTTTTTTCCCATCTACGTGACTTTACCGAAAGAACCAAAGAGAGTGAATTCCTGCAGTCACGAAAGCCTCCAATCAAGATTAATACAAAAATAGTTTCTAGTTTTTACTCCTAAACTGGGCAACCGAAATTCTCGATTCCCGACTACGGCTAACATTGGTGGCGAGTGCCATCTGGTCCGGTACCGACCGGGTCGCCGGAGGATTGATACGAGCAGACTGCCGACATGGCCAGTTTTCAGCGACGTCCAGAGGTTGGTGACTCGGCCCAATTCTTACAGCCCGGTGGCAATGATGCCGATGAAACTGCAAGAGTGGAGTGGTTCTTGACGGATGCGTCCATTTGTGTAGCAAGAGGACCTTCATATCTCCGTTGTGGGGAAACTGGAAGTCGGACTTCGATTGTGTGACATTCATGGGCGTAAGCTCGCAACAGGAAGGAAGCGATGGCGAGGTGCCATGACGACTTGTTGACCATATTTTAATCGAGCAGCGGATGGATCACAATTGAGAGTCCGGTCTCATCCGTGACGAATATTTGAGGCTTGTGGTGGAGTGGTTAGCGCACTGCGCTATGAACCCGGCGGCCTGCGTTCTATAACCTGGCCACGGCTCAGGTCGGTGGCGGCTGTTATGTGAACTGGTTTGGCTGTTGCCGCCACCCTCCTCCGCTTCGCCAACCAACCTACACTGACTCACGTGGTGAGGGGGAAGTGTAATTCAGCAGTGAATTGACCAAAGGGCTTGAAAGTTTAGCATGCTTTTTTTTATACTAATACGAATGGCTGTATTTATGGGTTCGCGGTGAGCTTTTTTGTTTAACGAAATTAAAGCTATTTTCACATGAACTATTTAGCAACCGTAATAACATTTTGCACATTTCAACAATGTTTTAAACTTAATTTTTTTTTTCATTTCTGCTCTTGATTTGTTAATATAGACTTGGACCAAGTTCCTTGCACCAACCGTTGTGATAAGTTATTCATTATCTGTGTGTCAATGTCCGTTTTCTATTAGTACTTCAGAAATAGTTACTATGTCCATAAGTAATTATTAAGTGTTTGTAAATGAACGCTATCAAATGATTAAAAAAAAATTCTGAAAATAACGCGTCAGCAAATGTTGTGTTGGTCATCGGCGTTTCTTGTTTTGCTGATTCATCTTAATCTCCACCTTTGCAGCTTTTTCTAACGTAAGTTCTTCAATCATTTCCTGGAGTTAAAGAGGCAGACGGAAGCAACACCTAATACTGTATTAGGACAAGGAAGACGAATCGTGCATATTAATGTTTTTTGGAGCACTTTCTAAACGTGCGTTTGTTCTCAAACATTTAATTATCAATTAAACCATTGGCGCTCGTGCCAGGTGCGCAGGAGACACAATGGAGTAAAACAAAACGTAGACTCTGGTTCGATAACACGGGCATTGGCAAAATGGAATAAAAGCTGAAAAGTGTGCAAAGAAGCAACTTTGGAGTGCACGCTTGGAATTGCAGACAAAGGAACACGTGGATTCGATAACACGCGCACACGTTAAAGACATCGTATCGATTTAGGTAGAGGGGGTGGGGGGGCAGCACACGTTGCTAGATGGTATGGTACTCAGGCTTGTGGTCGAGGCACGATGGACTAGAAGCCAAATAAGTAAGATTTAAAAACACATTTTTTAAAACACGCTTTTATGAAATGTACCCTACTCGTAATGGCAGAACTCCACGACTCCAGGAAGTGGCCCCGAAGCTTGCCATAACGTAAGGGACCCTGGCCAATTACAGCCAACGTCAGTTGACCGTGGCCAATTAGACCCAAGCCGAAACATAACATCTAAAAAAGAATGTTTAAAAATATATTTTGTTTTTTATGATAGAATATAGTATTGTCATCAGTATGACATAAGTATACCAAGTTTGCAGTCGATACCACATTGGGAAGTGGGTTAAAATTGAGTTACAAGATTTGAGGATACAACAACGACAACAACAACAGACAGAGTGAGTTAAATCAAAGCGTGTAGAAAGAGAATTCGTCCGAGAGAGGCCGTGCCGTCGCAGAGGAAGGATGGATGACATCGGCTCACTTTGAGAAGCTGGTGGATTTGTTTGTACGTGAAACTGAGATGGCGATGATTTGGAGACCTTCATACAGCAGTGGGTATATTATACCTGCATGATCGGTGTCCGAAACTTTAATTTCTAGTGATGTTACGATTCACCCACCCCTGGTGATTCGATACGTTTTCGAGATGAGATAAAAAAAAATCGTAGCGGCATCTAGCGGCTGCAGGTATCACGCGAACTCCACATAAACGGATCTGACAGAGGGAGGTGGGCGTAGTGGTAAACGCACGTTTCTCCACGAACCTCCGCTAAATCCCCTTCCGCGGCTGACACAAGCGATATCTTCACAATTAAGCGATACCCTGCGTCGCCTGGTTCAATTAAAGCAATGCCCGTTGTGCAAATCCACAGCAACTATCCATGAAAATCTCCCCCGTCTCTATCCCCTCCACTTAAATAGTATTAATACTTTTCGATTTAAAGCTTTCGCGACTGCAGGCATTCATATTCTTGGTTCTTTCGGTAAAGTCACGTAGAAGGGAAATAATAAAAATATAAACAAATTTTTTTAAAAATATTTTTTAAACAAAATTGCAAGTTTATTTATTTATTATTTTATTATTTCCCTTCTACGTGACTTTACCGAAATAACCAAGAATATTATTCATAATTTCTATTTGAAACGCGCCCCCGCACTCTATAGTACAGTTTTCCTTTACTCTAGAAGAGAGATAGCAACTCAGAGGCGCGAGAAGGAAGCACAGTCGAGTGGGAAGGCAGCAGCCACGCGGCGTCAAACCCCCCCCCCCACCCCAACTGCAGAGCTCTGCCGTCCTCTACATATGAAGATGTGATCGGCCATTGAATTTGGAGGAAACCCGGAGCAAACGGCCTGTTCCCGCGTGCAGATGGAACAGGTGGAGTCCATTCTAGATTTGAAGCTTTCGTGACTGCAAGGATTCATACTCTTTAGTTTTTTCGGTAAAGTCACGTAGGTAAACACAAGCGCCCGAAACGTCGTGATTTAATTTAGTTGTTTTCATTTCATTTTTTTTTACCTACGTGACTTTACCGAAAAACCCAAAGAGTAGGTGGAGTCCACATTTTTTAAAAATCCTTTATATTAAGTTCGCTTGCTTGCTTAGGACCATGCAAATCTTTCGGTCGTTTTTTAACCCACTTCCCGTGATCCAATCGAGCTGACATTTTCCACACAGACTCGTTGTGCGTGACAATTAATGTTCGTGAAAATTTTTCCCCAAAATTTTACACTTTTTAGGACAAAAATATTATATTTAATTACCAATTGCTTAATGGTGCAATGCAATCATCTGACCCATAGGTGGCAGCCATCTCAAGCCAGAGGACGAGAGGACTCTAGCCGCCACGCATATAAAGGATTTATAGTGAAAACCTTTGTTTTTACGGGTTATACTTATTCTGCACTGCCTTCTGGCAAGCCAGGGGTATGGGCACTTCCCCAACGCCCACCGGACTTGAGTTTTCACAACATTTGTGTGACCCCAGCCTCCGCAGTGCTGGGGATCACAGGTCAAGTGCATGGCCACCACCGACAGGTGAAATCAATGCAGTCCCCTTTAACCGGTATAGCACTTTAATAAAAAAATCAATCCTTCAATCAATACAGGAGGTACAGGCGCAGACCTGCAATAGCTTGTCCACGTCACTCATGGCGGAAGGGTCTTCGCTCGAGGGGAACTCTAGAGAGCCTGTCTACAGGGTGTTTGGCCTACTCTTCCAGTAGGCGAACCCAATCTCATCAGACCGCAATGCCATCGCGAGACCCGTTGCACCAGTGTTTTCATTTTTTTTTCAGTTTCATTTATTTGGTAGAGCCCCTGGTGAGCCATTCGGCTCTTGAATCGGGTGCAACCGCAACAAACAAAAACATGAACAAGAAAACATCTTAAAATGACAACGACAACATCTGAAAGCTTTTGACTCGTACGGTCCCCTTCCTCTCAACAGTGCGGCCCTTTGCGGCCAAGGCACCGCTGAATTAATTTGCAGAGAGGCTGAGATGTTGATAGTTCGGTTCCGGATGGCACTAGGGACTGTAGCAGGGTTGTAAGCCTGAGATGAAATAATTAGTTTGCAATAACAATGGGAATCGTTTACAGCGTTAGTTCCACCGCGAGATGAGGGCCTCTTTCCACGCCGTGGAATTCGGCCGTGGCGGTTGTTTGACCATACTTCACCACGCTGGTCAGTGGTGGTGGGCAGAGGGTTCTGCTGATGTTAGCCGTGGCCTGGAATTGAACTCGGGTTACCGGGGTTCACAAAGCGCAGTGATGCTCATCACTGCCATCATCATGACCCCACAGAATGAATTTGTGTGAGAGCTCTGCGTATTTACGATATAGAACGTTAAAAAATGTTTGTTGGGGGGGGGGGGTTGGTGGGGTGTGTGCAAAACGAAAAAAAACCCACGCACACAAAAAGAAGCAACAAATAAAGTGCGTAACCGACAACATTCTTTTTTGCGACCGATTCAAATAACAATAATGAGAATAAAAAAAAGGTGCGAATAACGAATAACGGACTCTGGCTTTAAACAGAGAATCGGCCAGCACCCACCCCCCTTCCCATGCCCATATTAGGAAGGTCCAATCAAAAGAGAGGAAACGGGGGGGGGGGGCAAGTGGTGGGGCCCGGTGGGGGGGGGGCCCAACGTGCAACGGTTATAATTTCAAACGGGGAGCGGCCAATCAGCGGCCTCCAAATTTGCCCCGCCTACGTCATGCCCATATATGGCGCCCACATTCAAAACTGAAAGGGTGGAGGATGCTATATATATATTTATTAAATAATAATGATGATTTTTTTTTGGGGTGGATTCAGAACGGAGTTCTTCTTAAAAATGCATTTTCTATACAGTATATATAACAATAATAAAGGTGATTCCTTTGTCAAACGTGCATTTGAGGCTTATGGCTCAATTGTGTATACGCCCTGGAGACAGAGTGGTGGAAATTGTACGTTCCTATGACGGGGGATTGAGTTTATCCACAAGGAACTTTTATGATTTCACCATCAAAAGAATAAATAACAAAAGCATATAAAACCGAGATAACTTTGCTCATAACTGCAGGGGGACATAGAAGTGAGTTAATCAAGGGTAAGGCGACGAGACAGCGGGCAGAGAACAAGATTTTGACAATATGAGATTAATAAATCGTAAACGTTATCGCTTAATTTTAAATAAAAAAAACAGCCAATAAGCGTTCAGTACACGGCGCACCGCCCATTTTATGCCCAAACAAGGCGCCTTAATTGAGTTTAATAATAAAAAAATAAAATATATTCTTTTCCTTCTAACGGGTCGCGCTTTTGCATTTTATAAGCCGCTTTTTGAAAGAAAAAAAATATCAACGTCAAACATTGAACTCCATGTCCATATAAAGGCGCCATAATTTAAAAATTTAAAGACAACCAATCACGATTTGTTTTCGGGTCGCGAGCCCCCCCTTCACCCCTCCCCTCAGATCCCCCACACCCCCCAAGCCCCCCCTAAGCCCCCCCCCCACCACGCCCGCTCATATTTAAGCACCTGTGGGTTGGGGGGGGGGGCAAAAAAACCCCGCGCGTAGCTTCCCCAGCCAGCCAATCACATCGCGTGCATTTCACCCCCCCACACACCCACCAACCCCCCCCCCCCCCCCAACAGCCCCGCCCCGCAGCCGGCTCGGGGTGTATTAAAAAAAGCGCGCGCTTATTCAAAAAGACGTCTCCAGCCAATCGCGTGGCTCCGTTCGCTCGCCCCGCCCACGCCATGCCCTTATAAGGCGCGAAAATTTGAAATTTTAGCGCGGCGGTTTGTCCCAGGGTGCAGCGCGTCGCGACGCTAACGGCCGCGCGTCGCCCCGCCGCCACAGGCGCCCGGCGCCCGGCGCCGCCGCCTCCCCGCGCCGCCCGCGGTTTTTTCCCGTGAATTTTTCTCCGCGGATTTTTCGCATTCGCCGGGACGCGGGGGCCACGACACCGCCCTCAGCCTTCTCGCTCCTCCTCGCCTCTTCCTCCTCCGCCGCTCGCTCGCTCGCTCGCCCCGCGGGGTGAGAAAAGTGGCGAACGCCGCGTCGCGCACACACGCCACGCACGTGGGTGGCGCAGGGCGCACCACGCCGGCAGGTAGACAGGCAGAGCGAGAGACACGTGGACGGGGGAGATGGGCAGACAGGCGGGCAGATAGCGAGATGGGAGATAGACACACACACACACGTGTGTGACGGTGGAGATTTACGTACAGGCACGCAGACAGCGGACAGTCAGATAGCCAGCGAGGTGGAATGGAAGATAGACACGCAGACGAAGTTGGGAGATGACACACAGACGAGGTGGGA